TAAGGGCTGTGTTAAGCCTGTCCAGCAAGAATAATTGTAGGCAACCTTTTTATTTCTCCTCCAGAGGATCCAAAAACACCAGAAGCCCACACACCCACTTTTTTGCCTCCTATCCTAATGAAATAGGTCAACAAATCATGACAGGACTAAGAGGAGAGTGTGGAGAGTTAGTAATGCATGGACATCCATAAACACATCCACACAGAGAAATATTTAATTGTATGCCTGCTATTAATAGCCTAAATAGGTATAGCTGTGATGGTGGTTGAGGACTACAGCTCCCTCAGCCTATCTGAATTAGGTGTATGGATTGTGACAAGACTCTCTGAAGCAAGTCAAGGGTATTATTTAAGAGGGAAAAGCCATCGTGCAAACAGGGAAGGCAAGACCAGAATGATACTTTCCACAAGTGTTCAGCAGGATAAGGCTTGACCTGCAAAACTGAGCAGGGAATGAGACCCATTAACACATTTTACAATCTATTTGCAAGGAATTTTCTCTGTAAACCTACCTAAAACCATGTTACAAGACCTTAACCTATGCTCTTGCATGTTTGTACAATTTGGTTTCGGTTTGAAATAAAAAAAAACCAACCAGCTCGTAGAACAGTTGGTGAGACAATACAAATTCCAACACATACCATCCTACAGCCCACATCAGTCTTGGAATGTTATACTAGGAATGCTAACTGCTCTCCAGGAGCACAGAAAGCTCCTCTAGTGATTTCAGGCTAGCAGGTAATGGCAAATAGCTGAGGAAGGACAGTATCAACACATACTCAAGCTTGGGATTTCCAAATTGTACTTTTGTTACACATCAAACCAGGTCAGAAGGTCTGTTCTGCAGCAAGCTGCTGTTCAGGAACCTTCTTTTTTCTCCTGCTGGAGCGCAGATTTTCTAATTCTGCTTATTCCTTGAGTAATTTTGACATGGAAGCAATGTCCTGCAACGTAATTTTAACTAGGCTGATATGACTAAGCAATACCATTGGAAAATCAGCCGAACACCAGATTTGTATTTTGTCAAAGCTACAATTTTATGGTTAATGCAGGTTTTAAGAAAGCTGTTCTGCAGCATCAGATAAGACCTACAATCACACGATGGTTTGGCAGTCAACCAGGATGGGGCACACAAAGAAAAGGCAGAAGTATACTTGGAGTGTTGCTCCATGCTAATATGCATGGCAGATGCCTGTTTCATGCTTTACCCTTTGGCAGCCAGCTATGATGTCAGATAGAGCTGTGCTTGATGAAGCAATTTATATTCACTTCCTGCTATTTTGACACTTTCAAGTGCTTCCACACCCAGAGGACAACCTCTGAAAACTGCTTGCTGGTATCATCTCCACCTAAGAGATTCTCCATATAAAAACTAATTAAAAAATTGAAGAATTATGAAAATAACGTTTTTTATTTGCAGCATTGTTTTTATTGGATTTCTTCACTTGCTTTCATGCTTATCTACAATATTCCTTGCCTGACACAGAGGATGCAAAGTTCATTAGAGACTGTGTGAGAGCTCACAACACATTTCAATCTCAAGTGAATCCAGCAGCCATGTTTCACATGATGAGATGGTGCTTGTGATCTGCTTGAAATTACTATAGATTGGGCTGCTGATTTAGCCCATCTTATTCTTCGTTTGCATTGTGGTATTCTTTCCTTTCAGTTAATGATTCCTGTACTATATGTGTTCTTCTTTGCAGGAAATAGAAAAGACATTTTCCCAGTATTGTTCAGTTTTAATAATGTGAAGGGAATTTCTTATTTAGCAAAAGATTGCTACTCTCAACTTCAGCCAGAGCAAAGGGCTGTATTGCAGAAAACAGTGTTCGGTTCAGTTCAGCTTTATCTACCTCTTTGTAAGAGAGATAGTAATCTGTTTTATGTCAGGTCAGGTTTCATACAGGGAAGCTGTTTGGTATTAAAAAGTGCCAGAGCAGCCAATCTGCAGAAGAGGATTTGTTGGAAATCTATCATCTCCTGTTGTTTCTTCCAATCTAGAACGTGTTGAATAAAGGGATTTGCCAAGACATCCATTTAGATACCTGATCTTCATTTGCTGCAGCAGGGTTTGAAGAGTAGGAATAGTAATATCTGGGCTGGAAAGCAGAGCTTCCTGCAAATACAATGGATATCAGAACAAGCTATGGGGTAGGTCTCAGCTTGTTCAGTGGAATACATAAGGTAAAAGGGTGTATAGCTATCTGAGGGATGTAACCCCAGTCAGTTCATGTCATTTCTCCACTCCCTCCAGCAGTGCTGCATAGCTGGAAAGGACCACATGCACAATATGAATCATTTCTATGAATGGAAGTTCACAGTAAAGGGGTAAAATTCAGAGTACCAGTGTTTTAATGTCTTGCCATTTTAAAAACAATGTTTAATTAAAAAAGCTACCACACAAGAACAAACTTACTTGCTTAGACCAAAGATCCAGCACATCTGGAATAACAGCAGAACAAATATAGAGAAACCTCTTGAATCAAAGGTGTTCCATGATAGTTAAAAGCTCTTAATGGATTTTTTTGGACTGCAGTCCAGCTCTAAATATTTTAACAAGTCAGATACAATAGGACATTACGAACTACCACTGAATGATACTCACATTTTCTTCCTCTTCTGATCTCTTTCCAGAAAATACAGACCAGGAGAAGCTGATAAGTATGTATAAAATTGTTCTTAATTGCTTTTCTATAAGTATGTCTAAGTTTGATGGGTCTTAACACCTGTTTCTTCACTGACTTTTAGATTATGCCAACTGGTATCTAGACTGGGATACACAGCCCCAGTTCCAGCCACTGTGGCCCTGCATCCCCAGTCCTCCTGTGCCAAAATACGTTCCACCTGCTGAGCATCCATGTCCCTCTTGCGACCAATACTTAGTGTTTTAATTTTAAGGCCACTGTTTCTAGTACTGAGTGCTAGTGCTGTTCTTTTAGTACAACAGCGATTTCCACACACATTTTTTTATTAGTAATGGTCAATTAAGATACTGATAGCGATCCTACTGCTGTATTACTGTTAGACAATTGCACACATTTAAAAAAACCACTTGGTCATCTCTCCATTATCCCTGTGATGTTTATCCAGCGTAGGAAAGGCTGCTTCCTTACTCAAGGCAAGACATAAGTGGCTATGCATACAGTTAATATTATTAATTTATTGGCAATAGATGCAATATGTTCCCATGTCTGTACGAGCCTCTTAGCTCTGGCTCCAGGCTAGCTCACTGCTAGAGGGACCACATACACTATCTATTACTAAATGTGCTAACAAGCCTCCTGGAAACCTGGCCATCACAAAGACATGTCTGAAGTGGCACACTGTATCCAAAAGAGGTAATAATTCATCTCCATTGACCTTCAGTTATCCCAGACACAATTTTCCCCAGATAACAGAGATTTAACTGTATGTATTACTTTTTATGAACAGAAGAAAAGCTTGTTCTTTACTATATATAGCCTATGTGTGTCAGTGTCCATTAGTTACTCTATTATCAGTTGTACTGTTCTGTTCTTCTCCTCTGAAGAGTTAAGCTTTGTTCTCCATAGCTAGAAGAATACCAGGGGAAGTTGATGGAGCAAGGATTAAGGTGGGGTGTCAATGAGGAGAGCTTAATTTTAGGATGTGAGATGGTGACAAAACCCTGACCTTTCACAAAGGGGAAGATGGGGGGAGCAGGGAGGAAAACAGGAAACAGAAGATGAAATGGGTCCACCTGATTTAGAAATGGAAGATCTCAGCCTCATTTTAAAAGCCCAAACCTTTGATGGATTCAGTTTAAGAGCTATTTAGCCCTCGACCCCTACTGTTCCAATATACATTTGTTAGTAAGGGAAACAAACCTATCTTTCTTTCAATCTTAGAGATAGTAACCAATCTTAGCAATGCATAATTGTGCTATCAATATTTAAAGCTGTTTCTCCTCCTTTATCTTTGTCCTAATGTTTTAAGAACACAGTGACTGAAATTCTAAGCCACATTGCAGCTCTGAACACTCACGGCATTCCACAATAAAAATGAGCCCCAGCTGAGGTTCTTGTTAATATATCCCTTCGGATGTATTAGAATGAAACAACACTGAATGACTGATGTAAAGAAGGGAGGAAAGAAAGAAGGAAAGAGGGAGAAAGGGAGGAGGAAAGAAAGAAGGAAGGGAAAGGAAGGAAAAGAAAGAAAAAGAAGCGGCAGCCTTATTTTAGAACAATTTGGTTGCAATGGAAAGGAGGTAGGTAGCTGTTTGGGTTATCTGTAGAAATAAAACAATATAAAAGTATAAAAACATCACCAAGAAAATATGTAAGAAAAAAAAAGAAAGAAACAGCAACAGCCTTAACAGCATTTATTTTCATCAAAAGCAGAAAATTTAACCAAAACTCTTCTGCAATCCGTAGTTATTGCTATGAAAGGGATGACTGGGGCCAAACAAACCATAACAAGAAAGCCCAAAGGACATGAGAGAAGCTTGCCCGCCACAATTCAAGAAAGAAGAAAACAAGACAGAGGCACGGCTGCCACAGCTTTGATGTGAACTTGTAGCTTAATTTCCTTATTCTCATAGCAACGTTCTCGAAATGATTCGTTTCCTCTGACTAATGCCATATTCAATTACCATGCCTAAGATAAGTCCAGCCCACAAGCCTCCAAAGCAAAACGCTGCTGGTGGAGCTAAAACCACCTCGTACAGCTGCAACACTCTGCCTCAAACCTGGAAGACCAGATGCTGAAACGCATGACTGTAAGGAAAAGGTTAATCACATTTGCAGTATATGCCGTAACAAGCGCTCGGTGGTGGAGCTTGCAGAAGACTTCACGGGCGCCTGTGCCCAAACCGCAAAAAGGAACTTAAGTCTCAGTTCTGGCCCTGCGGGGGCAGGCTCGACACAGATACTCCTCACTGCAACGTTCCATTGCGGTGTGTTATACGGCGAAGTGAATGACTGCACAAGCACAAGAAGTGGGGTCACACACAGGACACTTGGTTTAGGGGATACTTGCCTCGTACGACTCCCAGAGTAGACTCTCGACAACGCCCGAATTGGGACCCGACCGTGTGCACTGCCCAAACCCCCCCTACCCTCGCAGCTCGTGCTACTGAGGCACTGAAACCACGCCTCCCCTCCCCTCCCATGCTAATGAGGGGCTGGATTAAAGATACTTAGGGAGAGGACGGGCTGTAAATTTGCCACCGCTTAGAAGGCCGAGGCGGAGGGGTGGTGCTGGATCCACGGCAGTGACTTACTGCTTGCACCATCTGTCTTCTCCCTCCCTCTCAATGACAAACAGATTTTCTGCTTGTGTTCTGGCTTTACTGCTCTTCTGTCATTTCTCTGACTCCTATGAACCATCGACGTTGCCTGATATTGAAGATCCAAAGTTTATTGAGGAATGTGTGCAAACCCATAACAGATTCCGATCTGGAGTGGATCCACCAGCCAGCAACATGCTCTACATGGTAAGGGGATCTTCATAACTTATGTCCAAGTATGTAGCATTGTGATGGTGTTTATGATTCTCAAAGATTATTTTCTGATCAAATGCAAAAAATAAGAAAATAAAAGGAAAAAAGCCAACCTCCTGGGGACATGAGTGACTACTTTTTAAAGCAAAGGAAAAAAGCTGTAATTATCAGGTGGCTTTATGTGATCGGGTATGTGTATGGTTATGCCATGACTTAAATTCCTCATTTGAAACCCAGGATTTCAGCTCTCCACCTGGCGTTGTTTTGTGCTGTGAAAAGCCTCCTCGTTCTGAGACACCTCACGCAGCTCAACAGCCCCAGGTGTGATTTATGTACAGACCTAAGCACACCCTTTCATGCTTCAGTCGGCAAGGACAGAGACTGTGTTGCCAAACAAGGCTTTCTCTGCAAGGCTCCTACCTGCTGAGCCAACAGAGCTGTTCCTTGGTGCTGGGGCTGCAGGGAAAGCCCAAAAGCAACAGGAGCAAGTGCTAGGGGCATCAGGTTCCAGGCTGCTCTGCCCCCTCCTTGCTCCCTGGACACATAAGGGAGTGATATCTGCAGCTACCATGCGAAAGATAGTGTTTCTTTTTGGGATAAGCTCCACGAATCTCTCAAGTGGACCATAGCCATTATCCTAATTCCAGTCTTTTGTTTTGTTCCTTTTCCATACCATCTCACATGATCACCACCAGAATAGGATGTAACCACAACTGTAATTAACAACACCCCAATTGACATTAAAAAAAAAAAAAAGTTCATTTTCCATTTCTGGTTGTCAAACACTAAAAGACAAGTGCCCACTAGGGAAAGGTAAGTGAGCAGCAGTCAAGCTTGGATTTCACACCTGACAGGAAATAATTTAGTTTCTCTTCTAGATGCATCTTTTACTTCAGCTTTCTTCAGCTGGGCATGCTGAACTTCCAGTACATGTTGCTTCGGACTCTTATTTTCTGCATTTCTTCACTGGCCCTACACCAACAAAATGTTGCTAGGATGTGTTAGAAGAGCAGTATTCATCTTTTTAAATTGGGCTTACTTTCTCCTTTTGAAAAGTAAAGAACTGAAATCTGGGAGGGGGGGGAAAGCAGCCTAAGAAACAAACAAATAAATTACATCTAAACCAAAAACTAAATCATGGTAAGTTTCTTTTAAAACACGGCAAAACCATTAGTCTCTAATATGACCTCTCCCAGGAACAATTTAATGTGAAGAAACCAGTACGAGACATGATAAAATCTATAATGAAAGTAAAAGCATTGGAATAGAAAACAGTGTATTTCTTCACTTTTAGTGGCCTTTAGCACTTCAAAAAGGAGGAAAAGGAGATGGCTCCTTTATGTCACGGGGAACTTCTGTTTGCTGTAGATAACTGCCCACCTAGAAATGTAAAAAGTAAGACCGTGAATTCAGGGCATTTCTATGTTTTGGAAAACTAGTTTTTAAAAGAAAATACAAGACAGAAATTCCTTTAACTGCAAGTAACAAAGCCCAATCATCAATATTTGTAGTACATATATTATAAAATGAGAATGTTGATCTGAAAATTTTTTTACCTGACAAATGTGAGTCCTTTCTCATGTACCCAAAGCACAGCTTAGGTCTGTTCTGAGGCTCCTCAGAATTACTACAAAGAGTCTCACCAGTTTCATCAGGACTTGACGACAGTCTCCTTTGACTTACTGCTGCCTTGCACCACTTATCATATGTTATACATTCAATTTTTCCTCCCTAAATCAGCAAGCAGCTCATTACAAAACCAAAACTGAGAAGCAGTTTGTGAGTGAAAATAATTGTAAGTACCGCTTCCTTAAACAACAGTGAGACATTTTGTGCTGTGCATTTTTCCCCATGCTGTTTAGTCCAATCTTTTTGCATAAGTGCAGTATTATAAGCAAATAAGGAGTATAACTACAGTTAAACTGAAGATCATTCTGAACTATCAGTTTCTGTACACTGCTTTTCAACTTTCAGCCAAGTTAAGCATTCACACAAAAATGGAAAGTATATTTAAACTTATTAACTTACCTTTATATACGTATACCTTTATGGAACTTTAAACTTTTTATAGGATGAAGGGGAAAAGAGATGTGTAGGCTCTTAAAAAACAGAATGTGAAAAAAAAAGACCATGAAGCACTAAGGTGCATCCAACACTATCATACATCTTTCATCATGATCTTGAAAGTTATCATCTAAGGAAACACCAACTGCTCACTTGAAATAAAAGCCCCTGCCCCAAGTTTACTTTTAATATTTGATATACTGATTTCCTAGGCAAATTATTTATGTGTTAGTTTTGTGGTTAGTATTTGGTTTCCATGGCAAGGTTTTGATAGCAAGGAGGCTACAGGGTGGTGTCTGTGAAAAGCTGCCAGAAGCTTCACCCTTGTCCAACAGAGCCAATGCCAGCCAACTCCAAGAGTGACCTGCCACTGGCCAAGGCCAAGCCCATCAGCCACTGTGGTTGTGCCTCTGGGGTAATACATTTAAGAAGGGAAAAAGCTGCTGTGCACAAGCAATTGCAACCAGAGAAGAGAGGAGTGAGAATATGTGAGGAGAACAACAACCCTACAGACACTAAGGTCAGTGGAGAAGGAGGGCAAGGAAATCCTCCAGGTGTGAGAGCAGAGATTCCCCTGCAGTCCATGGTGCAGACCATGGTGAGACAGCTGTGCCCCTGCAGCCCATGGAGGTCCACAGTGGAGCAGAAATCCACCTGCAGCCCCTGGAGGACCCCACACTGGAGCAGGTGGATGTCTGGAGTCAGTGAGCCAGTGGGAAGTCCACCCTAGAACAGGGTCCTTGCAAGACCTGTGGCCCCATGGAGACAAGAGTCCACACTGGAGCAGCTTTGCTGGCAGGACTTGTGACCCCGCAGGGGACTTACACTGGAGCAGTCTGTTTCTGAAGGACTGCAGCCTGTGGGAAGGACCAACACCGGGGCAGTTCATGAAGAATTGCAGCCCATGGGAAGGATTCACATTGGAGAAGTTTGTGGAGAGCTGTTTTCTGTGGGAGAGACCCCATGCTGTAGCAGGGGAAGAGTGTGAGGAGTCCTTCCCCTGAGGAGGGAGTGGGAGAGACAACATGCAACGAGCAGATTGCAATGCCCATTCCCTGTCCCCCTGTGCTGCTGGGGGGGGAGGAGGGAGAGGAAAATCAGAAGTGAAGTGAAGCCTTGGAAGAAGGCAGGGGTAGGGAGAAGGTGTTTCAAGATTTGGTTTTATTTCTCATTACCCTACTCTGATTTGATTTATGATAAGTTCATTTCATTTCTCCAAGTTGGATCTGTTTTGCCCATGGTGGTAACTGGTGAGTGATCTCTCCCTATTCTTACTTTGACCTATGAGCCTTTTGTTGTATTTTCTCTCCCCTGCCCAGCTGAGGAGGGCATTGACAGAGTGACATTGGTGGGCACTTGACATCCAGCCAGGGTCAACCCAATACAGTGGGAAAATACACCCCCCAACAAATGTTAGCCATTGGAAGAAGTGGAAGACATAGGTTACAGAATATTTTCAAATCTCTGTAAATGCATTTTGTTGTGATCTTGTGATTTTTAAATACTGATTGGTAGCACAAACAATACACGTTGTTTCAGACTTATCTGTGGTACAAAGAAAGTTATTTATGTAAAACATAGCCATAAAAATCTAACAACCTACCTTTGTTAGATTTCTACAAAAAAAAAAATCTACTGATTACAAATTTACAGTTTACCTTTTCCCTTGTCATGGCTGCTGATCAATTCAAAACAATTACAATTCCATCATTTGCAGAAGCAAGTGAGATATTTTAAGTAATTCAGAAAAGGACAAATAAAAAGAATGTTATTTAAAAAAAACCTTCAAAATAGTTCAGCAGTGCTGGACAACTTTATTTTTGAAACACAAAGTATATCTAGAACTACAGGCACGCATTTGTGGTACTGTATCTTCCAGGAGGTACAATGCTGTAATCACTTAACCAAGTTGTGTGCACAAGAAAACCCAGCAAGAGCAGACACCACCTCCAGTGCAAACAAAAGACATTTATGTGACTCAATTGCCTAAATAATCACTTTCTGTAGGATTGAATAACAAGTGAATGAGTCATTCCACAAATATGAATTCAGCACTAACATTTGAAGCTGCCAAACACAAAGATGCTAACCAAGGTTGAGTTTAAACTGTCCCCAAAATCCCGGTGTGCTTGTGAAGTGACCTGCAAGCAGTGGCCTTAATACATGAGGCTACAGAAGACTCCTGCCTGATTGGTATGGTAAGCATAACCCTCACTCTCAAGATTTCATATAAATTCACTCTTTAATTTACATTAATGTTCTCTCATGGCTGGCACAGCCCTGAAATGCACATTGTGCCACTGACACTGTATTTGACTGACATACAGCTCTTAGTGTCCAACAAACCAGTCAGCCAAGATTACACACCACCCCAGAAACATCCTCAAGTTTAATGAGTAACTAAGTGCAAATCCAAAATGAACCTAAAAGCCAATTTACCATGTAGCTCTGTAAGTCTCAGCAGAAGCAAAGAACAAATGAACCAAAAGCATGTATGCTACTAAGACATAGCTTTTCCTGAAAGTTGCTCTGAATTACTTCATTGCAGATAAAGTGCTAATATAACA